GTCTGGGGCTACCTCAGCATAAACCAATTCCCTTTGGTTAAAATGATACTGGGCTGATATCTATTCGCCTTCCTCCTGCTTTCATTTTGATCATTCTATCTTGATCTTAATACCAAATGAAAATGCAAGTAGCACGAAATTGACAAGGGATTCCTTATAACTTGTTGTTTCCTCGCTTAGAGTCGGATATGGGACTATAATAAAGCTTATTTACTCATCTATGCACTACAAGTAATTCATTTTTGTCCATATTATTTCTCGTACATTACTTCCTAGTCTTGATTACGTAAGTTTACCTAATTTATACGACTTAGTCTACTTTTAATTCCCAGCATGTTTGTCGACTTTCAAAAAGCTTGTCTAGAACTGTATTTTCTAGTCGTTACGATTCAGTCAGTGCAACCATACCACTAGTGAGCAGCCATTTCCAGGTGATAATAGTCGATTTAAGCGTAGTCGAATATGGCGTGGCCTGATTTTCGATATGAAACAGCATGAGTCATTCATATTCTTGGCTAAGCATGTGTAAACATGTATATTGGTTAGATGCTTGAAGTTAGTGGCAAACATGCTCCATTGTAGGGACATTAATTGGAATCCGACTGGCTTGGATAGATTATATTTTCGCTATAACTATTGCTTACTCGGACACTGTCTGTCTCCCACCATTTTTTAGTTGCAGACTATCAGTTTGGTTTAAGATTACTTGAGGTGCCGATGACTATTTTAGAGTATTATTAGAGAGACTTTCAGTTCGCATGAAAGTAAATGAAGAAGAGATTCGTTGGTCAAGATTCATCCATCCTCATCTGGTGAGATCGACCAACGAATCTCTTCTTCCTTCACTTTAATGCGAACTGAAAGTCCTAATAGTATTATCTCAAGAGATTCATCAAAACCCAGTTTCTCTTCACATCTACTTTAGAGTAGATCCATTCTAGAAAAAGCCCGCTTTTTCATTGAATACTTCAGTGGTATTTATCCTGAATGTTTGTTATTAAATGAAAAATAAGATAGATAAACAGAAAATAATTGTTTCATTATACCAATCTGAACAGGTTTAGCTTTAAGTTTAGAAAACAAAAAATGAGATGCGGTATTTGTGCTGCTTATGCTCAGTTTACTTTATTTACTTTCTATATCAATGTGCTGCTTGAACTCTGTGTGCAATTGCAACTGAGCTTAGCTGGCTCCAGCCCTATTCTATGTTCGACTTCATTCAGGTTATATCTACAAACCCTTTGGAGTATTGGCCTCAATGTCACTTTCAGTACCTCATCTAACTATTTTAATCTTAACACGGTCACCCTAATAACTAGTTTGTTAGCTTAGACATGGCTTGTTATAATTCTACCGCTCTTGTTCATTTGAACCATAATCTAAATACATTTTCGGAAACCTGACATGCTCTCCAATTTGTTCCACTTCTGGACACGGACACAACTTTTCCAGACTGGTGTCCGAAATCTCCTCCGAATAGAAGGAGGACACTATTTCGTAAAAGCTTCGATACTAGCAAGATAGTTTTTTGCCGCACGTCTGATGTACTTTCTCGTCTACTAAGTAAAATGGATGTTCCTCAGTAAATTTATCTGGGCTTGCTCCCTCTTACTAGGACCTATTTTAAGATAAATTTTATTGCCCTAACGGTCGACCTTTCCGAGTCCTATGGATAAAATTTTAACGGCTCAACTAACATTAACAGTATTTTTAACTCCTATTGAATCTCGAGTAGAGACGAGGTTTATGATGGACAACTTATTATTTTAAAGTCAGATGTTAAAGTTGTTCTCAATTAGTTATAAGTTAGTCTTTATCCTGCAAGTGAATTTCAAGATAATACAATTATTAAAGAGGTACCTGGATGATTGTTGTTGAACATCTATGCGAAGAAAAGTTGGGTTTCGAGGAATCTCTTGTTTCACAATTGATGAGTTTACTTCTATTTCGAGTGAAAGTGTTTGGTAAAGAGATTAGAAGGCCGATTCCACCAGAATATGACGGCGGATTCCTCTTCACCAGCCCTCGATTGACTTTACTGGAACACTCATGCTAATGCTGTTTCCGAGGTAATATCCCTTGATTCCGGTGAAAGCGTGCTAAGCTTTCGTCCGTCATATGAAGAACATCATCAGAGCAAGGTATCATCGTTACAACCAAATTCAAGCTAACGGGTCAAAAAAACTCACCGGCACATCCCTAGAAAGCTGTTTATATACTCTATATCTGGCCTCTTTGGTGAGGTATGGAGTGATTTGATTACTTCCAGTCATATGTCAACCTCGAAGCATGTGAATATGTCTGTTTCTGTATGTGTATGTGCCTATGTGATTTCGCCTATGCACAAAGCCAGCATTGATGGTTCAAAGTAATAAAGACAGCAAAAGTAACATTTATTCTCGGCCATCAAGGCTTAATGACCACTATCCCGCTCTTTACACATTTATGTTATAACCATCACTCCGATTGCGCAAGGTCGGATACGCGTCTGGTTATATTGATGAGTCTTTTTGTCTTCACATGAGAGAGAAAGAGCGGGCTAAAAGTACAGAGAAGTGACTTTGATTATAACCAAGACAAAAAACAGCGTCAATATGAATGTTCCAGTAAAGCCATTCGACAGCTGGTAAAGAGGAATCCGCCGTCATCTTCTGGTGGAATCGACCTTCAAATATTTTCACCAAGCACTTTAACTTGAAATTGAGCTAAGCTCAACAATTGAAAATATAATTGGATCCTAGTTTAATGTATAGACGCTTTCAATCCATGCCTGAATCGTCTTATTTTTTTGCATTTGTGCTCTCTTTATGCCCTCGCAAACCCAATCAACCATTCCCATTCTCGTCTATTTATCATTTTCACTATACTTGGAGCCACAAATTATTAATGGTATCTTGGTATCTCACTTAACCATGCAACTGTTCAAGCTTTCATCTTTCCAGTCACCATCACTTCCACCTATTCTATTTGCAACTCATTCATTTCTCCCACTTTTCCACTCATCCTCGTACCGGCTAAACCATCTACTTTATTACTGAAAATCTTGATTTGCAGTGGTCTCATCTACCTGCCTAACTCTAGACTGCATCCATGTGGCGCCATCTACCAGCTGAGGCCGGCGGAGAACACTTCTTTGACACCGGAATTCCAATATCCTCGTTTTCCATCGCCATCAACCCCGCATAAACTCATAATTACTCAGCTATCATGCAGCTATAGGACAGATACTTCACCTCGATTTTTCTCTTCTTATTACACCCCAACTTCCTCTTTGGCCTCCCAGTATTCCCCTTTGTCTTCTCAGACCTATTTTCCTTTTTCATCAAATTTTTCAAACACGTTTTTCGCTTCTTTTGCATTTCTATCATCATCATCATTAACTTTTGTCGACGTCGCCGAAAAAATCCCTTACATCTCACATTTTGCATCATATACAGCTTCGCCTTCCGTTTGGACTCCTACTTCAGATCAATTTGTAACCCATTCTACTTTGGATCTCTCCGCTTTAAGACGCAAAGAGACTGGTAACTCGGCTAAATCTGAGCCCGTCAATGCCATCTCTGAGGGCAACATCGACGCTTTAATTAACTCTGTTAGAAGACTGATGATTTACAGGACAGATCAGCCTATCAGAACGAGCAGGAGAGGCGAGAAAATGCAGATCGGCCTGGGTAAAGACGACACGAGTCTACTTGCTGGGCAATTTGATCATGAAGCATCCAGAAGGAGGCGTTCGACATTACCATTAAAAGCATGGTCCGGTCACCAAAAACTAAATAATGTTAGAACAGGGATTGCTCAGAGTCCCCTGACCTGGGCCATCTTTGGTGCAGGTGACGATCAAACAGAAAACCAGTTGCTAGGTGATTTGAGTGTGACGATCGAAGCTTCTATGTCAAGGCAGAGGCTGCGAAGAATTCGCCGAAGTCGGAGAGGTACGCAATATGATCTTTTACCTATCCTAAGCTTTTTGTATTGATAATAGCTCCGGATTATTTACGTGCCTTTGTATTTGTATTCATTCGTTTGTATAAGTTCATATTTTTTCGCAACTTCCTATATTTCAGTCATATAGGCATACTAATTTCGGTTTCCATTTCCCCTTATCTATTGAGTGAGAGGGGATCAAAGTTTTGACAGAATATTATCTACTAAAAGAAGTGGGTTGACCTCGTCTCAACTTGGTCCTGTGTTCAGGGAGACTATGTAGAACGCACCGAGTCCGAAGTCGTCTGCCATAGTAGTTGTCTGGATTCCCAGCATCTGACAGTGGACTTGATCATTCTCAAGCGTTTCGCCGGCCTCGTAGTCGGCATCATCAGTGAGCCTTGCCATTCTCCGCACCAAGAT